GAATAATGAAGTCATAAAATTCTTTATTATATATCATAACTAACATAAAATAATAGGTACTATTCAACCAAAAAAAAGTATAGATATTTGACCGTACATGTATTTATTTTTTGATAAAGTTAATTCATATATTGAGTTGAAATTATAAAATTAAATGATAAAATTTATTAACTAATCTATTTGAATTTAAAAATTAAATAAAAATAAAAACTTTTAGACACCACGCATAGCGCGGCTAAGTTTACTAGTTGAATTAATAAATAAATATTTTATTAACTCTGTCAAAAGTTATTTTTGGCTAAATTGGACTAGAACGGGTCATAACTCACGCCACTCTTGCTTACTAAATTTTAACTTTTTTGCTTATTTTCTTATAATCTATTTGATTGCCTAATTTTATTTTATTTTTAAAAAAAACCTTACAAAATAATTATATATAGCAATGTTTAAACAAAAATTCTCATGGATATCCATCTAAATTGTATATTATTCAGTTTTTAAATAAATTGAACTAAGCAAATAAAAATAAATTAAATTGATGAAATAAGTTGGTTCTTAACCCACTTAAACTTAAACAGGTATTTTACCACTACTAGTGATTAACATAATTTTGAATAATTCCATTGATTAAAAGTCTTGTACTTTTGGTATAATAAATAAACATCATGTAGTATGGATGGATATATCGCCAAACATAATTATATTTTATCATAGTTGCTACAAAAAGTTAGTCACTAACTTAAATTAATCATGCTACAATAATTGGTCAAATATAAAATCAAATCATAAATTAATATTCCTTTCGTTTAAAAAAAAGAATGACCTCCTTTCTTTTTTAGTATGTTTCAAAAAGAGTGACTTTTTTCCTTTTCTGATAATATTTTAAATTATTTTTCCACGTGACTTATTTAAGGCCACATGATCAAAGGTCAATTTTGTACATTTAACCTAACTTTAATTTAGGATCACAAGATACGAAAATCTTCTTTATACTCTTAAACTTCGTGCCAAATCAAACTATGTTATTCTTTATGAACCGAAAAGAGGGAGTACAATAATATATATGTAAAAAAAAGTTATAAAATTTAAATCTAATTGATCATTATAATCTCAATCTCCAAATCTATAGTCTCTATGTATAATAAAATTGAACATGCATATTCCAGCTTCTTAGTGCAAACTTAGGAGTTATATTCTATCCGATCCGATCCATTTGCGAACTTTAATAAATTCAAGCTAACTCAAGTAGACTATTGTTACAATAAACCTGAAAAAAAATATGTGGCTTTTATTTTCTTGTTGACCAAGTAAATTAAAAAGGAAAGATACATCATGAGGTTCATTTTTCTTTATCAATCCCTATCACCCCTCATCTTTTTTAAAATACTTTTGGCAATTTATGTAATGATTTAATTTATTTATATTAATTTGATTTGATGCTAAAAAAAAATTAAGAAAATTTTTGAATTTCGTAAATTGAAATTTTTGTTACGTGTCCTGGAAAGAAAATGGTGGTTTGGATGAGCAAACCATGCATCTCAAAGACGAAACAAAATTCGACTTGAAATATTTACTTAAATACATTATTAAAACTACTAGCTTATTATTAATTAGTGTATTTATGTAGCAGAAACATACTTTTTTTTAAAAAAATAAAATAGTATTCCTCAGGAACTCAACCTTAATGGTAATTTTTTAGTCGATTTAGGAAAGAATATTTTTTGCTTTTTTAATTTATGATTATAAAATTAATTTCTTTTATTTTTTTAAATTTTATATTTAATTAAATTATATCATTCTTTTTAAAGAGAAGAAATAAGCGAGTGTCTGCTTCTGGTATTGATATTTAAAAAAAAAATGTTTTAGTCTCGGTAAGTGAACGGCAGCTAGCCATCACATTTTTCTTTGACACATGGCAAGTATCTAATAAATAAATAATTGGCATTTCGTTAGATAACTTGCAACTCAGAAAAGCCAGTAAATTAATTTTTGAAAAGTGTAATATGGTAAACAATTTCGAATGAAAAAAATAGTTTGCTCGAAAGTTATTTGAGATGTAATAAGTTTAAAATGGCTCATAACTAAATTTGCTTATTTTTTACTAAGATTTAAGAATTTTCAATTGATTTTCTCATAATTTGTTTGTTTAAGTACCTAATAAAACGTGGTTCCATATATTATGACAATATATGTATAGTAAATCAAATAAAAAATCTATTTCTAAAACTATTTAGATAATTTTCACATGGTCATTCTTAAATTATGTATCATCTCAATTATTAAATGAACTGAATTAAGTGAATCAAAATATACCTGATCTAATAAAATAAGTCAGTCATAATTCACCCACCCAAACTTATGATCAACTTAATTTTGATTAATTCTCATTGATTAAAGTCTTGGAAGTATTTTTAATATACAAAATAAACATCATGTTGTATTGACGGATATATCACCCAACATGATCACTAGTTAATACTTTCTAATACTAAATCATTAAACCATATAAAATATATGTTTTTAGTCTGACAAATTTTTGAATAAAAATATATAGACATTTAATTCTAGGTGAATCCATATCAATTTCACATGTGTAACGACATTAAAGACTTAAAGCATATCTTTATTACTCCCTTCGTCCGGAATTGTTTGTCATGATTTCTATTTTTAAAGTCAAACTATAAAAACTTTGAATAATATTTTAAGATATAGTTTTTATCATATATTAATATGCAAAAAATTGTAATTTATAGCACTTTTCATATAGTTTTAGAATATTTAAATTTTTTACTTAAAATATCAATTTCAAATTTACCTTTGAAAATTAATTAAATTGATTTTCGATAAACATAACATGACAAACAATTCTGAACGGGGAGAGAGTAAATGATTTCCTTTTTAAAGACGGCAAAGAAAAATCAATGCTAATTGTTTAGTCCAAATTAACTAATTCTTTATCACTAAGCTTTTTTATCCTGGACGTAATGAATACATTATAAAATACTTTTAAATTGGACTCATATTTCATGATGACTGGTCTTCTCTAAAAATGGTGGTAATAATACTATGTAGCAGCCATATTAATTAATTAATTTATCAATCATAATTAAGGACATTCTAGATGCTGAGGCATTTATAAGTAGTGCACTTTATTCCGAAACAAGTCGAGATCGACTATTTAAGTTCAAAAATTTTCATTAGACACATTTAAAGAGATTTTAAACTTATCTAATTCTTAAACAATGCAATTCGTAAATTGTGTAACTATAATAACTCAATTGACTGATTATTTGAATTTTAACTTGGTTAGTAAAATCTGCGTTCTCCTAAATTAGTGGACATGACATGATATGAGGTAAGTGCTCAAGTCATATTCTTAAAAGAAAAGTCAATAATTTTGACCTCTCCACTAAATAATGAAATTATTGTTCCTTTTATATACAAAAAAAAAAGTATACTTTCTCCATGTAAAAAATAATAATAATAATGATAACAAATATGGGAGAGGTGAAAGTTCATGGTATTTTTGCAGGGCCATTTAATAAAAGAGTTGAATTAGCCTTGAAGTTGAAAGGGGTCAAATATGAATATATTGAAGAAGATAGATCCAATAAGAGTGATGAACTTGTAAAATATAATCCAATTTATAAACAAGTTCCAGTTCTTGTTCATAATGGGAAGCCAATATGTGAATCAATAATAATTCTTGAATATATTGATGATACTTGGGAAAATAATACTATTCCCCTCTTGCCTAAACATCCATATCAAAGATCCATGGCTCGTTTCTTGGCTAAGTTAATTGATGAAAAGGTATATATATATATATATATATATATATATATATATATTACTTTAC